TGTGTCATAGCAACTTGGGATGCAATTATTAATGCTAAGGGAGTAGTATGATATTTATTTATTACCCTGTACTGCTCTTGTTACCCTTAAACAGACTAATTTTAATACAGGTTCATTTTAAGAGCTGTCCCTTTTTAAAATAGCCTCGACTTACTAAGCTGCTTACAAATGGAATAAGCTCCAAAAAGTATGAAACTACCAGCCTTTTTAAAAGTAAAACAGTTTTAGATTTGCAGATCCTTCAGTCATTTATCTGTCAAGTTTGTCCCAAACATTTTCTCCTTGAAAAAAGATCTCAATCTTAATGGCTTTTTACAATCTTATTTTAAAAAAATGTTTTAAGAAATGCAACATTACATGTCTAAAAACAGATGTTAGAGACGTTGAAATGCAATATTGATATTACCATTACTAGCAAAAAGCTGCCCTACAGGTGGTTTTTGCTTTTTCTAGTTCTTCATTCTGTATTTATTCACAAGGGGAACAAAATTCCTTTGTGGATACAAATTTTGGTGACTGCTAAGTATAGGCAACGTACATTATGACATGTGAAACAAATGCAAACGGACCACATAGCATCAAATTTGATGAATACAAAAAACAAAAGAACTGGAATAATACATGATTTTTTAAAAACATATAAATGTGTGTGTCGATGTTCATGTAAAGTTTAGCTCAGATTGCCCACCCAAAAAGAAGTTATGTACACGTACACACACACACACACCACACACACACAAACACATAGATTGTTAAATAGTTCCATGCAATCATTATAGTTAGATTAATATTACCAGTAGTAGTAATAATAAGCTACAGCTAAAGCATTAAATCGCCATAAAGTCAGCACTCACTTAGTAATATTAGATTATGAAGTGTTTCAAATTAGCTAAATTAAGCTAAAAATGTAGAAGCAGAAACTTTACTTGTAGTGTACTAAGCAAAGATTCCTGTCAACATTGCTGTAAAATTTGTAAATTTGTTATCTACATTTGCTTAGTTACTTTTCCAAGGTTGTACCTAATCTCTAGGTCCGAGGTAGCTAAGATGCCAATGTGTTGATGGCAAGATAAACGGATAAACTTTCCAGACATAACAAACACAGATTAACTACGTCTGGGCAGCGCTTTTTTCCTCCTCACTCCATTCTGATGACAAATTAAGAAACACAGTTTCCTTAAGCTTTTACGTCACTTAAAATCCGTCTGTTGGCCAGATTCCAGTCAAAGGTCTTAACTGTGGTTAAGCTGTTAACCTACAATCTTAACATTTTGATTAAATCTCCTGTTGTCATGGATAAACCAGTTAACAGAGCTGACTGCTGTTTGGTAAAGAAGCACGTTATTATCGCTGAGTGCTCTCACTTGGTTTAGCAGTGACTGCGGTTAAAGTTAAGGTTAAGAATCAAAGGCAAGATTTTTTTCTACTTTGACTAACATAGGTTTCAAAATTCAGTAGTTCATTAACCAAAAGACGTTGGCTGTACCTGCTGTTTTATTTCTTTGAGAAAAAGAACAGTAACAAGAAAGACCGGTCTCTGATATCTCCCTCTAACCCTCCATCCCTTTTCCTCTCCTCTTTCACACCATCTGCTTTTTTTTTAATTTCATTGCTTTCCTTCTCTTTATATCTTCCTCCTGCTCACTATTTTTCCAGGTACAATCTGCTTGAACACAGGTCAGCTTCAAACATGGTTAAATGCTTAACCCTCTTTGAATATATAACAAATTGGACATATGGGTAACTTACATATTAATTTGCAAACAATATGTACATGTTTTATAGGAAGCCAAACAGACAGACTGAAACGGGTTGAAGGACTATTATCTCTTGTGTTTAGGAGATATTAATCTACCCTACAGTATAAGAGGCTCAAAATAAATAAATAAAATTGTTTCCTCACAAGGAAACGTGAGAAATTCATATATGACGTTTGTTGATT